AATCTCATGCTGACACATGACTTTCATGCTGTCCTCCAAGTCCCCGGGGAAATTAAAACATGATTATAGATTTCCTAGTGGCTTCTGTTAAGAAATTTATCCCATCCAACTCACATTATAACTCCTTTGATGGAATTATCCTGATCCACAAGTCTTTATCTTTTGTGGATTACCAATGACTTGAGCTTGAGACGTGCTCATTAAATAGTTAGAAATATGAAGAATTAGAATCTCCCATGGGTATGTGTCTATCAACGAAGCTAACATTTTAAATTTGTTAAGTGTTCCTAGTTGTTGGTGTCTACAAAGGTCAACTATGGAAATCACAAAGCTCCCTGTATTTCTTCCTTTGTTCCTCCACCTTTGCTCTTCTGGCCTCTGACTTTGGTGTGGACTGTGAGGACAGAGCTAGGTAATATGTTGAGTTCTGATATTCTCCAGGAGCCATATAGGAGCCTCCTCCTGTACCTTATTCTCTGCAGTAGGAGGGACTTTTCTGATATCTCTAAGCAGAGGAACGTACTACACCACCTACTGCTGCACAAATGCATGTAGTAAGCTCACCAAGAACTCAATTTAATACTCAGCAAGAAATGCATTATTCTATTTTATATTGCTTTCATAATACCATTAAAATTAACTTTTAAAATAATCTCATTTCTTCACATTTCATATGGACGGCTACATCGACCTTTTCTGAAAGTTCTATAAAGTTAAAATGGGTGTTGTGGTCATAAGGATATGATTAACATGGAGATGAGTCATGTATTTCTGTATCTGAGAGAGGTTTGATGACAAGTTATCACCGTTACCAATCTAGAAGGCATTACAATTTTTGTTACTTGAACAAATTTCTTGTAGTGTTTTAAATCATGTTTTGAATACGTTTTTGGAGGTAGAAGAAAATTTTGTGACTACTAATATAAAATTGTACCCCATCCCCATTGTGGACTACCCCTTTAGACTTGGAATATTTCAGTATGTGCATTAATGATTCTAGTGGCTTTGGGGTGGGGTACATGAGTATACAGGTATACATGCAGAGGCCAGAGGGGGAATATCAGGTAGCCTGCTCTGTGATTCTTTACCATATTCCCTGGAGACAGTGTCTCCCAGCAAACCAGGAGCTGGACTGACAGCTAGAAAGCCGCCGCCCCCCTCCTGCCCTGACCTATTTGCCTCTGTTACCACCCCATGGAGTTACAGCCCTGTGCTTGTGAGGCTACATCTACGTTTTAATTTTTTATGTGTGCTTTCTAAGAGGCATCCTTGTGTCTTTGTGCTTACACAGAATACATTCTTACCCACTGAGCCATCCCTACAGCCCTCTAGTTACTTCTAATGCTTAGATTGAATCTTTTCTTTTGCCTTGCTGTTGGTACTTCCAAGAAGATCCAATCCCTTATCTGATGAACCCTTCTACAAGACTGTAATGGGAAGAAGAAGCTTTGTAGCACTGTTCAGTTATGAAATCAGCTCAGTCATATGCATTTATAATTGCTAATTATCAGTATATAATGTTGCAAAAGACACCTCACCCCCATCCCTGAATGCTGAAATCCTATTTGCAAGTGGAATGGTTTTAGAATGTGATACCTTTGGAAGGTAATTATGTCATAAAGGCAAAGCCTTCATGATGGGACTAGTATCCTTATAAATGGAAGAGGATTGGTCCTCACCCTCTCTGCCAAGTGAAAGGGCAGAAAGTGCTGGGTCCCCTGTGAACCAGGACTTGCCCATGCCTCTCCCTTGTTCTTGTACTTCTAACCTTCAGGACTGTGAGAAACAACTACTAGTTGCAGTTCCTGGCTTCTTAGAATTGGCTAAGGTACTGAAATTAATGATTCCTACCAGTCACACTGATAATGTTCATTACGTTAAATGGCAATGGTAAAGTCAAGCCAGTTTAAGACTCTAAATATTTTACTATACCAATAACCCCATACTTATTTGGGAGTTAAAAAAAAACTAATAGAATAACAGGAGGGAAAACAAAGCAGGTAACGGAGCACAGGGGGTGTTGGGGAAAGAGAAATTATACTTTGATAGACTTCACTTAAGAAAAAAAGCAGTCATTTGAACACAAACTGTTTGTCCCGCAGCATAAATGACTTGGTGCCAGTGTGAACCCTAAAAGATTCATATGTGCTGAGTGAGAAAGAGTGAGCATAATAGACATACTAATGGAATGTAAAAACTGAGCTGGGTCAGTTGGAACATCTCAATTTTGAATGGTGCCAACAAAAGATCAAAGTAGGGAATGGAGGGAGAAATGGGTTTTAATCAAATCCAGAAGAATTGAAAACCGAGGTTAGGAACCAAACTAAGAGATCATTTACCAAGCACACAGTAAAAGTTTATCAGGTATTGGTGACCCTGGTAAGCAAAAGCCAGATACAGCCCAGGTCTCCAGACTGACACATACTTTTAGAGTAAAAGAGATGCTATGGATCACTGCTCTGGGGGGATGGGATGGTTGCTGTCAAGGTTCTGAAAGCTTTTTCTCTTATATCCATATTCTGGATGATGAGAGTCAATTGATTTTATTAGCTGTGTAACCACAGGAGTGGTAAAATGATGCAAAGTTCTCTAAATTTCTCCCATGGGACTATGAAAGACAGTCACACAAGAGTCTAGCTGGACTTTGATCCCTGAGGCTTTGTGACTGTGTGACACTTTGTTCTGTATCTGTGCTTCAGCCCTGCATTTACCATTGGTTCTTTGGTAAAACTTCAGAGGGAGGACTTCATTTATCATCCTCTTCATGCTCTCTCACTTAATGCTACATCAAAATAATGATTTGACACTTAATGCTTAATCACTGGTAGCAAAACCCAGCTTTAAAATACTATGTTGTAAAAGTACTTGCCGTTTTCTTTTGTTTTTATAAATCAAACATGCATTTGTATCAGCAGAATTTTAATTCAGATTATTTTGTGTGAGAAAGACATACTTTTTAAATACATCATCTTTTCTAAAAGAAATTGAAGCAAAGGAAGAGCCAGTGTCTCACCAGTGGGACTGTGAGCCTATTTAAGATGCAACTATTGAAAGACACTACCAGATAATGTCTTCTATACTATCCAGACACTGATAAAAACTAGCTGCCTTGTAGGAGTGAAAAAAAAAAAAAACCTCTTTTATGATGTAATAAATTACTTAATGCTAACAACTTCCCCAGCTCCTAAATAGGTTTAGGTATATAACCATCATTATTTGGGGAATGAGCTCAAAATTCTCTTCCAAGCCTGGTAAAATCTGTCAACCACTGTTGTTTATTTATTTAGCCCATTTAAGTGTTTAAGTGTTTTTATCAAATGGCTCAATTCTCTGTCTACATAAGACAATGAATCAGTCTGGCTATCAGAGACATCCGTCTTGAACATAGTCTGCTATGACCAGCTATTCTGTAGGAATTAGATAGTGAATAGTCATGATGGCAGAATAAAATATAACTTATTTAATATAAGAATCTGGCCTATAGTGTGTGTGTGTGTAACATGATTAAAAACAACAGCAAAAATCAATGAAGAAAAAGTAGAACGGAAGACAGGGAGTATTGAGCATTTTGAGCTTTTGATTTGGTTTGGGCAGGGAAGTAAAGATACAATTTCAAAGCAGGCAGCTGAAAAGGAAGATGAGAGAAAGTGACACTCAGGTAGCTCATGAGGGAGATGGGGGAGGGACCAAGTGGACATCTGGAGGAAAAAGTACTTGCCAAGAGAGCAGGCCAAGCAAGCATGTGAAGACCCTGGGGTTGGAACAAGCCTGAAGAGATTGGAGAAGCACAGGGTAGCTGGTATTCTAGTGTGTCTGAGAGTAATTGAGCAAGTGAAGGTAAAAATCAGAGAGATGTGGGCTTGATTCTCTGGGGTTTTGCGGGTCTCAGACTTCTAGAATAGAACATTAGGACATTTCAAAATGGCCCAATTCACACCTGTTACACAAAAGTAGAGTGATCCTGTTAAAAATCACTTATGCATGTACAGCGGGGTCTGAGATTCAAGCCAATGAAATGAATGGGTTATCTGTCAGGTATCTGGAAGTTTATTAAAGGGGGACAAAAGTCAATTATAGTATCTCAACTCCAGACTGAGCCCAGGAGATGAAGTCACAAGGAAAAGAGTTTAAACAGTAGGGACCAGAAAAGAAGACTCAGGAGGTATTTTTTAGATAGGGAAGGAGATGCAGAGGCCAGTGTGTGTATAAGAATCAGTTAATCTTGTACTGCCCATCCCCCACAGGAACTGCATGAAGTCTGTTCAGGATTCCATTGAAATAGGGTTTGCTCTCTAGAAACTGGAATGAGTTACAAACATGTTAAGTTTGAGCAATGGCCCAAATCCTGTACTACACAATAACTGGATATATCCAAAGGTAAGAGAACACCAAAGGGAAACACTGTGAATAGGGAGGTTAGGACACAACAGCAGCCCAGAACACAAAGATTCCATGAGCCAGCCTGCATTCCTCCTCCCGGAGTAGGCATCAGGAACACGACCTCCTGCTCAGTCAGAAAACTCTTAGTTTTCTGAAATCACTTCATGTTTGATTTCATCTGATTAAAAGTCTGCAAGGTTGGGCTGCTACAAAAATACAAACTCTCTTCCTATCCCCCTCCCCTCCTTTCTTCTTCTCAGGCCCTCCGGCCTCTGGGGGGAGCGTATAGGAGAAAGTGGGCGGGTCTTTAACTGATAAGCCCCCTCTTTAAGGAGGCTTCACCTTTTGAACTTCTAAGAGGCCTTTTTCCCTCAGGAAGGAAAGACCTGGGAGAGTTCACACATGGGAACATTCAAGCAAGGAAGCAGCCTCTCTGGAAAAGAAGAGGCTCTAGACTGAGGAGGATGAGGAACAGGCATCTCCAAGACTGGTCCCCGGGAAGAGAGACACAGACCAAGCAGATACATTTCTGATGTAGTAGTCTGCCTTGGGGCCAGTTCCAGGCCTGGGTGGGACTGGTGCAGGGGTAGGGAAGGCACCGGGTGGAAGAAATCCCTTACTCTTTAGATTTATCTGATCCGTGGGCAGAGTTGATCCGATGCACTTCTTTTCTTTTAGCTTGTTTGGAGGCCATGCTTGAGGCTCACCCAGCAGGGCCCACTGAGAACGTGGCAGGGCCCACTGAGAACGTGCGTGCGCCACAAGGCCCGTGAGGCCTCCTGCGTCTGCCGTTGCCAGGCGACAGTGAAGGAGTTCTGAGAACCGGAAGAATCCTGCCAGGCCTGCTTGTGGGCGGAGGGCGGGCTCTGAGTGGAGACATAGCTTAGGAGTTGCTTTTATCCGGAGGAACTGTGATGTGGGCCAGCACTGACAGGATCAAATGGCTGCAGAGGGGGTTCTCTGCAGCTTGCTATACCGGGGTCTGCGACTCTGAACTTTAGACACAGACTCAGCTCTTCAACTACGAGGACACTGGTCTTATTGGGGTCGCACCACGGTGTTCTCTTAGCTGAAGAGAAGAGTTCCTTCATCAAATACCACTGAGTTTGCCAAAGGCTTAGAAAACACACACACACACAAAAAAAAAAAAAAAAAAAAAAAAAACAAAAAACAAAAAACAAAAAAAAACGGTGGATCCAGAAAGGAATCCATTGTGGAGACTTGGAGATAATCATAGTCTTGTCTGGCTAGGTGAAAGGATTAATCCCGTTATGGAATTGAGGGGCACTGAAAATGGACAATAGGGAATCTAAGTAAACCCCGGATCTATTAAAACTGCGCATTGGTGCTCAGGCATTCTGTGCCGTCATCTTGCCTTGCGGCTGGCTCTCTTTGACCCTCCTTTTGTTCATTTGTTAGCAGATGATAACTCCTACTCTGACCATAGAATGGATTCAGTACAACATGCAAGACTTCCTCATGCACCTTCTGGGAATAGGCATTTAACATGAATGAATGTGGCCAACCAGCTAAACATAGAGCCATAAGCAGAAGGCCATAAGCAGAAGGCCACCACTCACTGAGACAAACTTTTTTTTTTTTTTTTTTTGGTTTTTCGAGACAGGGTTTCTCTGTGTAGATTTGGAGCCTATCCTGGCACTTGCTCTGGAGATCAGGCTGGCCTCGAACTCTCAGAGATCCGCCTGTCTCTGCCTCCCGAGTGCTAGGATTAAAGGCCTGCGCCACCAACGCCAGGCGACAAACTATTTTTTCAGCCCATTTTAACTTCAAAGTCAAATTTGACACATGGCCCTGAGGTTTAGAACATACAGGTAACCTCTCCCATAAACCTGGAAGTACTAAACATCTTTAAATAAAATAATCCCCTTTGCTCTTGGGAGTAAGAACATGCCAAGTCTATGATTCAGTTGAGAAAGCAATTTCCTCAAATCAAATCTTTCAATTCTGACAAATGACTGCCCTAATCTCTCCATTTTAGTCTATTGCAATCTTACTACTGTTGAGAGATACATAAATGAGGATTAGATAATCACTTCATTGTATTTTATATATAAAATAAATTCAAAGTCTGAAGTATTAAATTTATCACCCAGGAAGTAACCTCAAATCCTTCCTTTAAACTGGATCTACAGACAATGGAGGTTCCATAAAGAGTCCTGCTTTGTTTGCCAAAGTTCTAGAATTTCCATAGAATTCTTCCAAATGAAAGTAGACTAAATGGTGAGAAAACATATTTGCAATGAATTTTAATGAAGTAATGAGATAATTGCCATAATTTGGTATAAATGGCCCGTGTATAAAGGTAGCACAGCTCTAAGTAGCCAGCCACAGAGAAGGGTAAATTTAATTACGAGATGGGGCTTTCTTTCCCTGACATCATCATCCATGCCCACAAATGTCAAGACCCTGAGAGAAGAAAAACTCTTCAAATCAAAACAACTACAAGCCAAATACATTTTACAGATAAAGAACCCCAGACCTAGAGGAGCCAACTATCCTGCCAGAAACCCTAACACTGTACAATGATGGCCTGTGGACAAGAGGCATTAAGTCAAGAGTGCTGATTTAAGCCAAACATATCACTATTCTATTCAGACCCCTTCAAATAGATATTTACCTATTGTTAGGATAAAAATAAGAGGGAAGTCATGGAACGAGAGGATCACAAAACAATTTTAAGAACTATGTTGTCTTAAGAAAGTCTTAGGCTGGTGTTCCTTCTGTAATTTTTCTATTGAGAATGCAGCATGTGCAGATGGAATCTCTCTTCCTTAGAGAGTTAAATCATTGAGCAAGCCACAGAAGTAGCATGTGTGTTTCTCTGAACTTTACAATGACATATATGATAGCACATAAAAGGAGATTTGGCTTTATAGCTTTACCTTTAAAGTAAATTTATGTAATTATGATAAGTGTCACTTAAGAATGACAATAATAGCAGTTTTGCCTTGCTGTATGTCCACTACATTGGGAAAGGACACTAGCTCCTTTGGAGACCACCCTGGATTTAAATACTGCTTCTTGTTCCCTGAAAGCTCAGGACTTCCATTTTCTTTATTTGTAAAATAGGGAAGAATAATACCACAAACATACTTGATATATCATAAGCACTCAGAGGAGGGTGATAATATTACCCCACAAGTAAGGAAACTTCAGGGCAAAGGAGAAATAGATCAGATGGTGTGTAGCTGAAAAAAGCAGGTTACACCTCAGCCTGAGCTGTCCACTCCCTCAGGCTACCTACCAGTCACATTTTATGATCTAGGTGGTTGCCTTGGGTTTCAGTTTAGGAAATTTCAAACTTACTTTCCATCAGATAACTTTAGAGACTAGCAAAGAAGAGAGTGGTGTTATTGCTGCTGTTATTATTATTGTTTTAATTATTATTACTATAATCGTCATCATCATTAAGCTTGTAGCCATGCCCCCAATAAGAATTGCTCTAGAGGGAAGAGAAGAAAGAATTGACCTTAGGGCAGAAGTAGCTTGTAGGGAAGTGGTTAGAAAGACACACTTCCTTCTATCACAGGAACAGGGCAAGCCTTGGCGGCTCTGCCAAAATGTGGAAGCAAGCTTTGGCATAGCCAATCTCGCCACCATCAGCAGCCCTGGATGACCAGAATAGAGGAAGGGGAGTAGGTGAGGACTTCAGATTGTGTGTGTGTGTGTGTGTGTGTGTGTGTGTGTGTGTGTGTGTAATTTCTACCTCTTACCATCTCGATTCAGGTGCTCTCTAATGCTCAAATCCACAGGGAATTACACAGATCCTGCTGCTGAGTGTTTTCACAGTTAGGCCAGTTGTATAGTTGTATAGGAATCTAACCACATGTAAGAGTGAATTCTACATGTTCTGCAGTAAGTTGAGGGTCATTGCCATTTCAACTTTGAGGCTTTGTCTCGTTTTCTTAGGAAATAATAACCACCTTTATTATGATGGGCTTTATTGTTTATAACATAAACAATAAATGTTATAGTGTTTGTAATGTTTATCCTTACTTATGCCACCAGCTCTTCTCTTACATTTTTGGTTGTGAGCCTAGCCTTTAACAGCTGAGCCATATCTCCAGCCCATCCACCAGCTCTTCTCGATAATGGAACTACAGAATTGCCCAAAGCAGGAATTGTCCTACCTTTTCAACAAACTCAGTTGGAACCTCTGAAGGCCCTAAACTCCTGCTTTATGGATCTTATGACTGCCCAGAATGTCCTTTGGCACACTTCCAAGAGCCTTTACACTATTAACTCACTTAAACTTGGGATTACAATCATCCCATTTTACAGAGAAGGAAAGTAAACTATTGAAAGACAAAGCAGCTTATTTGAAATCTGAAAGCACTCAAGAGCTCAGAAAATGGAACTAGAAAATAACTTTGCTTCATAGTGCAGGTTCATAAGCAACCTGTTCCCTTCCTCTTTCAATTAAAAGGAGTTTTAGCTTTTTTTTAGTAATTGTTTTTGCTGCACCAGAAATTGAAAGAATTCAAGGCCTTGGCAATGATAAGCAAACACGAATTCCAAAGAGCTACATTCCCATCCTTAAACTGAGTGAACTGATAATGTTTGAAAATGCTTTTATAAATTATAATTTTAATTTGGCCATTTCTCCTAGTGCTTGTCCTCTACAAATGCAATGGATAATTTGGGTTCTGTATGTGTAAAACCAGGTGGCACAAGATGTTTATTAGTGGATAAACTTCAACTCTAGCATTAGTGATGTTTTAAATGAAATTCTAGATATAGATTCATTTAAACAATGGAACAAGGAAACAAGGTATTAATCCCTAACTAGGTATGGTATTGTATGACTTTAATCCCAGCCTTCAGGAAGCAGAGACATCTTCAGGAAGCATGAATTTCTGTGAGTTTGAAGATACCTTGGACTGTTTAGTGACTTTAAGGACAGTCAGGGCTACATGGCTGAAACTCTGTCTCAAAACAATAACAACAATAATAATAATATAAAAATAGTTCCTTCTAACAGACTCACATATGATACCTAAAAAGACCATAGTATTTTTAATAGCAACATCACAAAAAAATCTTAAGAACATTAATATAATAAAAAATATCCAGTATCTCAAAATGTAAAATTCACAATTACTGATAGCTAATAAAAACCAGTAGGCAGAAAGACATATTCCATTACAAAAAGAACAAGTTGATTCAAAATGAATAAAAATATGGATAATAGAAATAGCAGACAGAAAATTACAATAGTTATCATTATTGAAATCCATATGTGGAAGAAGCCAGAAGATTGGATTGCTAACTTCAACTTAGGAATATCTGGAAAAAATATAATGTTTTATTGTAAAACATGCTGAATTTGATTGGTGGCAGACCAGACGTTACAGGAAAATGGATTACTCCATTTTAAGACCCAGAAATAGAAGCTATCCAAAATGAACAAGAAAAGAAAACAATGTTTAAAAAGTGGATAAAGTCTCAGTATAATGTAATAACACCAGATGGTTCAATATCAGTATAGTTAGAACACCCAAATGGGCAGAGAGATGGTGGAAGATAAGGTGCTGAATACAGAAAAGGGTTATATGAAAAAATAATGGTTGAAATTTTTGTGAATTTTATACAAGTTTTAAACCTACAGATCCAAAAATTTAAGTGAACCCTAAGCTTAATAAATAGTAAAAGCTCCATAATCAGGTTTGTCTT